TGGGGGAAATGGTGCATGAGATGAATAAATAAGCAAAGCCCAAAAGACATAATCTGACTCAGGAAAATTTGCACAGCGACGGCCCTGCCAACTGGCTCTCCCGACCTACGGCTGGGTGGCATCTTCTCTGGGAGGCTAAGCCAGGGATGGGGGGTGGGCAGAGAGGAGCCTTGGGAGGAGGCAAGAGTGTAGATCCACGGAAACTGTGCTCAGCCCTCATTCTGCTGCCACCTATCTCCAAAGTCCATTCCTTACTTTTCCCCACCTCCAAGCCATATATACTCATAGTACAAAGTCCAATACGCTACACAGCAAATTCATTGAGTGTCTTTTTGCAAAATCAGCTGCGTGGAAAAGGGCAGGGGTCTGGGCTCTTTCTACTTCTGGCTCTGCTGCTAACCAGCTGTGTGCTATCGGGCAACCTCTTGGACCCTCTGTTTCTTCATCTGTACGGTGGGAACAATGATGCTCACGAGGAAGGTGTGGTGATTTGATGCGGTCAGTAGGAATTTAGCGGAGCGCCTGGCACGCTGTGGCCACTCAGTAAATGGAAGAGCTTTAAACATTAAAAATTATTGTCCTCCTTCAAAGGATCGTACTTTGCAGAGAACAACATAAAGAGGTCGTGTCTCGAAGGACGTCCATGCATGTTCATTAGTGATAGCTGTCTGCGAGAGGGTGGAATCGGGTTGTTTACATTTTCTCCCTAATCATTTTCAGCCTGTAGGTTTAAAACTAAGTATTGTTTTTATAACCAGAAAATATTATTTTGGAAAAAAGATCGCAATTCACTTGGCAGCTTTGTGGGGGCAAGGATACAGGAAAGCAGGTCCTGGGGCTGGACAGCTGCTTGTAGCAAAGTGGCAGTGGGGACAGGCAGGGAAGGCCAGGGGAAGGCGACCCAGCGCTGGGGGACACCGTCGCGGTCCTGGGCCGTGGGATGCCTGGCAGGCGCAGGCTGGCACTACAGCTCCAGGGGGCAGGAGGGGACGAGCCTTGGGTGAGCCGTCACCCTGCTGTGCTCAGGACGGAGCGGCCTCCTCCGGGCGTGGGACCTCCAGCTTTGACACGAGCAGAGTCCTGCCCGGGGAAACTCAGGCGGGTCGGTCCCCCGAGAAGACCAGGGCCCTCACTGTCCGTCGCGACGGCTCGCCATCCAACCGACGCGCGAGGTCAGGGGCTCTGCCCAGTTCTGCGGGTGGGCCTTGCACTATCGGCCCAGCGGGGACCACATGGCCCCCAACACGTAACCCGGCCCCACCCCTCCTTCTTGCCTTCGGAGGGTCCTGAGACCTTCTCCTCCCCATCTCATGGACCCCTGCGCCCCAGTTCTTCAAGCTCTGGGGGGACTGCTGGCAATTTCTCCAACCTCGCTGAGGTTTCTCAGACGACCAGACACCCTCTCTTTGCTGCCCTGCTCACGCTCTGGGTCTGAGAGGCCAACTGTCTGCAGGACTTTACCTCCCGTTCTCCCTGGGAGGCAAGGCTCTGTGCCACAGACCCTCGGGGTGTCACACGCCAGCCTGCTAGCTGCCACCTGGCTCCTGCAGCTGGACAGCATTTCATTCTCTTGCTTTGGGACACAGAGTCCTACCGGGAGGGCGACAGGGTGGCAGGCAGGACGTGCTTGCGCGTTTCTGAAGAACAGCTCTGAGAGGAGGAGCCTCATCTCTGTAAGGGCACACCCGCGCCTGCACACTACAGAGCGCCTCAGCCTCTCCACGCCTCAGTTTCCCAGCCGAGGACTAACACTTTAAAAACAGCTGCAGTTTAAAAGTACGGGGGGGGGGGGGGGAATGGAAACAAAAGGAAGGCCGCAAGGCAGAAATTCTTAGAACAGTGGTCCTCACACTTGGACGTGCATCAGAGCCCCCGGAGGGCCTGTTAAAAATACAGACTGGGGCCTGCCCCAGAGGATCTGCTCCGGCAGGTCTGGGGTGGGCCCAGACCCTGTATTTCTAACAAGCGCCGGGGAGACAGATGGGCCTTGTCCAGGGACCACACTTTGAGAACCACCGTGCCCGAGTATAGCATCCATGTGTAGTTACAGGAGGCGCGCCAGCATGGGCCTTGGATGGGATTCTCTTAGAAATCTGTTTAAGTCCCAATGGTTTCAAAGTTTTAAAAGTATCTATTAATTGTATTTGGAAGAGGATGCTCTTTGTGGAAGACTGTTCTAAGCAGCCTTTCCTGCCCCCGTGCCCCTCAGCGAGACGTGGCTATTCTGTCCATCGGCGGAAGACACAGCATTGGCCAAGCAGACGTGCTCCCGGCGCGTGGGACGCCAGAGCCCCTGTCCCGTTCCCTGGTGGCAGATGCCAGCCCAGCTCAGATGAGGGCCCCCGAAGTCACTCACGTCAGGAACGGAGTAGGTGTGCCATGAACGTCGCATGAGTACATGTAAACACTGCTGAATGACACAGGCCCTCTCAGTCTAGCAGAAGTTAAGGCATCTTTCTCCACATAACTCCGTCCAATTTAATTTGCGCTCCCCTGGGTTCACTCCTGGCAGCCATTCAAGCAGACTAGCATCGAACAAACCGATGCTTTCACGCGGCGGCTGGGGCCACAGGCCACCTGTTTCCAGCGGGGGAGGCCGGGGCACAAGGGGCCCCTGAAAGTCCCTGTGCCTCGCCCTCGCCAGAGCTTCCCTTTTCCCCTCTAACGTCCACCCTGCTCCCCTAGACCTGCAAGTCCTCTGACTCCACCCCAAGGCAGCCCCTCAGCCAATGCATCGGGAACATTCCAGCCCGTCTCTTTGCTGTGGAAGTGGCCCATTTCATCTCTGCCTTGAGAAACTGTCTTTCGACCCAGGTTTCTTGGGCGCGCAACTTCTCGGGGCCCCCAGTGTATTGAGTTGGGGGATCCTGAAAGCTCGGCTTTCAGTAAGGCGGGCAATTTTGACTAAATGCGGCTGTTAAGGCCTCAAATTAGAAGAAACATTAGCCAGTTGGCATGACAGTACTGCGGCTATCTGTTCTATCTGCCAGGTTTGAGTTACCAGCCTCGAAGCCAAAAAGAAATGGGCTTCTTGGAAACAAAAGTGATGGAATTCGGGTTGTGAATTACATAACCCGCCAGCTTTCCCCAGATTAGGGGGATACTTTCAAGTTTTAAAGATGGAGAAACGAAACAAAAACAAAAACAAAAACAAAAACACCAGCAGTAGCTCCCTGCTGCCCGAGTACCCTGTCAGCTCTTCCTTTCCTCCCTCCCCCCCTCAAGACGTTAACAAGCGCTGCCGCTTTAAGAGCAGGAAGGTGTTGTTTCAAGGGCCTCTAAGCCCCCCTTCTCAATTTCAGCTTGGAGCTGAGATCACATCCCCCACGGCAGCCAAGGGACAAAAGCCATTTATCACCCCATCTGATAAAAGTTCCAATGGGCTGGATCTTTATCTAGACCAAACCGAGATGCACAGAGTGCAAACTCCTGCTCTCCAAAAGGGGAGCTTCCTTTTAAAGGAGGGTCATTTTTAATTTTTTTTTTTTTTTTTTTTAGTTCTTGGGAGAGAACTGTCTCAGCCTTTCAGCAGACCTCTCAGGAGATGGAGAAATTGCCTTAGGAAGGGGGGACAGGCCCACTGTGGGGGGTTTTAATATTCCCAGGCGGGCGAGGACACAGGAGGTCCACGGGCTCTTAGGGGCACTGACGCCACCCCCCTCCTCTGGGCCTTGGCCGGGGTCTCCTCAAAGAAACCGGGGGCTGCGAGCAGGTTAGGGCTCTCCAGGGCTCCCTTGGGGATGCAGCTGCTGCGTGTGAACTGGGTGCGCTGGATCCGGAGGGCCCGCCGGGGCACCCGAAGCAGGGCTGGGGCGGAAGGTAAACTGATCCCTGGCCCCTTAGCTGCCTGCATGGTCCGCCTGCGGGGAGCCGCAACTTGTAGCCTGGATGGCCCAGTTCTGCCAGTTCCTGAAACCCAGTTGGCTGAGGAGCAAACAAAACAACCCCATCCCAGTCTAACTCAAGTCCTTTCTTGCAAAGCTCGGTGGCGCATGGGGGGCTGTGCATCCGCACCGGGCTGCCGAGCGAAACAAACTTGCAATTTTGCAAGACACCTCAGAGCCCAAGACAACGGCAATGGCATGGAGAGTCCGCCTTGCAACGGGGTCCCTTTGGCCCGTGACACTGGGTTTATTTGTATTTTTAGCCAGAGAAAAATGGGTATAAAGGGTTTAACTGGCGTTTCCCAGCTGTGAGTAGCATATGGCAAAAATGAAATAAAGTTTTATGAAACATTATAAAGAAAACAGAGCAGGGATTTAAGTTTCGTGCCTCCCCCCTCCCCCCCCAAAGGGGGGGAAAAAAAAGTCAAGAAACTGGAGCGTTTGGGAACGAACAAATGCTTCTCTGTGGAGTTGGTCTCCCTTCCCCCAACAAAAACAAGAGGTCCGGGCTCGGAGGAATTTGAAAGCAGCGATCTGCCAAAAACATTGTGAAAAACTATGGGGGATTCATTGGAAACAGATGGGCTTTTTCAGCTTTAATTCTGAAATTCTCTCCCTTTCTGACACAATAAAAACAAACAGGGGGCGACGCGGGATGTTATCAAACAGGAATACAGGCTGGTTTGAGCCCAGTCCTCGGGCTCCCCGTGTGGGGCCGGGCCAGGGGTCCCACAGGAGGGGGCGTCCGGGACTTGGCTAGGACCTCGGGGGCGGCCCCGGGTCCACCCCTGGGCACCGGCAGGTTTGCAAACCGATGGGTGAGGAGCCGGAGAAAGTGCCCCGGTTCCGAGGCCATGCCACCCCCTCCCTCTCCAGGGCCCCGAAGGTACGCATCTTTGGTCGTCCCCCCCTTCTCGGAAGGGGGCACCTCTGGCCCAAATGACCTCCGCGGCCAGCCCTTTTCAATGCAGCTCCAGTAGGGCGCGCCTCCCTCGCCCCCGCCGCCGCCCCCACAGCATCCATCACGCCTCCGGCGGGGCGCGGGAAAACAAAGACCCGTGGAAATGGGAGGCGGGATCCCCGGCGGGGGGGGGCGCTCCCGGGGCAATGCCTTACCTGCGGGGAAGCTGCAGAGAAGGAAGGCGAGGGTCGGCCAGAATCCCAGGGCTGATCGTCCTGCCCCTCTCCCCATACCCATCCATCCAGCTCGGCCTGTTACCACTAGCCTCTCCCTAGAAGAAGAGTTTAGAAGAAAAGCAGAAAATCAATCACGCTGCGGAGAAAGGGCAGCCTCGCTCCGCCGGCGGGAGCAGCGAGCCGGGCGGCTCGGTTCCCCTCGGCCGCGGGCGCCCGGCGCGCCCCCTCCCTCGCGCCCCGCCCTCGCCATCCATCACCCGGTCCCCTCCAATGTCGGCGCGGCCCCGCCACCCCCGCCGCGCTGCCCGCCCCCTGGCGCTCGGGTTTCAGCGCCGCCCGCCAGGGGTGGGGAAGCTGGGCGGGGACCCAGACGGTCCGGCTGCGGCGCTGGCCCCGGGGACCTCGGGGATCCCGGGACGCAGGGCGCGCGCGGCTCCCCACGCAGAAAGGGCCGGTTCTCCGGGCCCGCCAGCTCCGCAGAGCGCAAGGGCAGCAGCGTGCCCCTCATCTTCCCCATAAATATCCAATCCAAGCAGAGACTGCGCTTGGAGAGAAACCCCAGGTCCCCTTTCCAACTACACTGTCGTCCCGAAGCCAATCATTTCTCTCACTGAGACGTGTCCCCCGGTGCGAGAGGCTGCAAATCCGCTTCCCAATGGTCCGGGGTTAGGCGGGAACGGCCTGTCGGACCTCAGCCCCGAGTGCACCTCGAGGCCCGCTCGCCGTTGTCTCGGGCCACCCACCCTGTCTGGGTCCGGCTGCCTCCAGCACCCCCTCCAAGCTGCTTCCCGATGACTTGCCCTAGCTGTGCTCCCGAGCGGGTGGCCTGCGAGCCTGTCGGGGGCAGGACCGCTGCCACCCCAGAGGAGGTGTGGGTACGGGGGTCCCCGCGGTGCTCAGGACTCTGGCACCAAGGTCGCTCTCGGGAGGGCATCAGGGTGATGATGACTTCCCTTCACTTGGTCGCTTCTTTTCCTGGGAGAAAAATGTCTCCTCCTCGAGGCTCCCCCTCGGCCCTGTAGCTCTTCTGCTGCTGCTCCTGGGATATTTAAGAGACTGGCAGCTTCCCCTGAGAAACATCTTTTGGATGCAATACAAATAGGCCAGAGCAAGTGTTTTTAGTCAAACCAATTCCTCCTTTGGCCCCCTCACGTCACTTCCAAGCCTATTCATCTGGTTCTTTGGAAAAGAATCCTGAGTTTTTATCCAATTTAGATGTTTCTCTTAAGCACTATCACAGTCCTCACTTGCTGGAGGCCACACAGGCTGCAGGGCGCGCTGCCTGCCAGCGGGGAGCCTCCTCTGGAGGAGCCAGCTTCGGGCGAAGGAAGAAAAGCCCTAAGTCTGTGAAGACACAACCCAGAGCAGCAACGCTTCTGAATCCAGCTTCCACAAAGCAGGCACGAAAGGCCACTAAAGGCCTCCGCCAGCTGTGCCACGGAGCACAAGGACGCTGTTGTTCCCGTGGGACTAAAGGCCATGCCAACACCTGCCTGCTGGCCTTTACCGTTGGGCTGCCACCGCGTCTCCCTGTAACGTTTAGGTCTCAGTCTGACGGGCTCGGTCTGGTCATCACTCCCCTAAACTGAGCTGCGTCTGAAGCCTCGGTGTGCAAAACACTATAGGTTTGCCCACCGAAATCCAGGTCTCGAGTGGCATTCCTCTCCAGGCTGGCCCACCCTTGGGCCAGACCCAAAGGCGCACGATCTTCAGGACCCCGGGCCAGCCCTGGCACACTGAGCAGGCACGGGCCCCTTCCAGGGCCACCGGTCACCACCATTTGCGGGAGCCTGCCTTTCACAAGGTAATCTAGCACCTCCCGCTAACAAGGGAGAAGGGACTCATCCGGAGTCCCACCTGTAAAGGTACCACCACCAGCACTGCAGGCGCACCTGCGGGTGCGGAACACGGCAGGGAGGCTGTGGGGTTTCAAAGACCTGAAAGCAGTCCCTCCCAGCCCTGCCCTGGCCCATGGGTGGCCCTTTGACAGCAAGGTGTGTGGCCTCTCTACCTCAGTTTCTTCTTCTGTATGGAGCAGGCTGGTAATACCATTTGGGAGGGGCACCTGCCACGGGAGCTCCCCAGCTTCCTGCGAGGGGATTCAGTGGCTGTCACTTGGAGAGGAGAAACGATTCTCGTAGCAGCAGCAGATAATCCGCAAAAGGTCACGCCAAGGGCTTTTTTCTCACAAGGAGAAATGTGTGCGGCTGAACTTGGACATCACAGAAGCGGAGGTTTGGCTCTCCCGCAGCTTAGACTGTCAGGAGAAGGCCGGGCCCCGCGGAGCAGTGTGGGGCTGTGCTGGCCTGGAGGAACCTGTCCACGCCGGCCAAGCCGGCCAGCTTGTTGACAACTCCCGAACTCTTTGCGAGAATAAGAAATTCTTGAAACGCTGGGTTTTGGAACTCAGCATTTCATTTGCCAAAGAAACTCATGTAACTCAAAGTGTAGTTGACTTCAGACAAACGGCTCCTGTTATAAGTCTGACCACTTACGCTTTCTCCCCGCGGATGCCGCCTGGGCCTCCTGGTAGATACCTTCTGAACACTGGGGCCCGCATGGCCGTTAGCAAGCAAACATTCTGCAAAGACTGCCCTAGGGTCCCTTTTGTGGCTGTAAACAGAATGGACAGAGTCCATTTTCTTGTAATTTGGATTACGTTCTCCTAAACGCATTAACTGAGGCCGGCCCTGCAAAAGCTTCACATGCATTTTCTTGCTAATGCCTAAGCCTGTCCTGCTGTTAATCACCGTTTGTTGGCCATCTTTCTGCAGAGCCTCCGCTTCAACCACAGGCCTGAAACCAGCTGAGCGGTCTCTCCTGCAGATGAAATATGAACATTTAAACTAAGTCTGGGAGCACCAGTGATCCCCGGGGATCCCCACTGTTTATAATTATTCATCCAGAAAAGTACCTGTTTATCCTGGTTTTTTTTGTTTCCCGTCTCTAAGGACAATTCCGATCTGTGGCGATTTCCCCCACACCCTGGAACGACTTACTATCCTAAGTGATCCTGGGGGTGGACTGTTGTCAGAAGGAATTTTGGAGTCTAAACATAATTCATCCTTGGGTTTCTCCGTGGTCTCCAAGCCTGTTTCTACCTCCTCAAAGAATGCTCATAGATTGGCCTGGTTTCATGGGTTTTTGTTTTTTTCTTTTCCAGAAAGTGTGTTGTGCTTCGTCCAGTTCATTGGGACCTTAAAAAGTGCTTGGTGATGTTACGTTTTAGTATATATTCCACCACAGGGACTATTAAAAACGACCCTTCCTACCTGGGTGGGCTCCCTCTGTGGGCAAGGGGCCCAGCGTGTTACACTGTTGAGGGCAGGCCTGGTGTGGAAGGACACTGTGCATCCTGGCCACTAGGTATCACTACCATCGTTAATGAACCCTGGTCCCTTCCCTCCAGATGGTCCCAGGATAGAGAGAAGCACATATAAAATCAATCAATTCATCAAGCTATCTAGCGACCTATCATTTTACCAAAAACTACTAGCAACCTCCTGCCTGCCCTCTCCCAATAGAGTGGGTATTTCCTGCTCTATTTTCTTTCTCAGGTCAACAGTCCTGTGAACCCTTCCCTCATGGCAGGACCTAAGCAGTCAGAGAAGAGCTGAGCTCACCGGCCAGAGGGGACGTACAGACAGAGTTATATAAAAAATAGCCCAGATGAGGGATGCCAAATGCCTTTCAGCAGCCGCACCCTCTCTAGGACTTCAATTCCCATTTGAAGATACTAATTCTGTCCCTTCTCATTTGGAAGTCAAACAACTCACACTTATCCCAAATTGCATTGCAGAGGGCAGGGAGCCTGCCAGAAGTCACCCCGCTGACTTGGTAGTAGGTCTGGGTGATTCTCGGCTGTCATGCCACCCCTAATGAGCTCACCAACTCCTTCCCAGGCATGGAAACGTTTGGTCTCTCTGCCTCCATGAACTCTACTCCATCCATGGGCTCATCCTCTGGCTCTGAACAGAGCAAGGAGTCCTTTTTTGTTCCCCCGGCCTCAGCCAGGCTGGGTTAGAGCCCTCCTGCTGACCTGTAAGAGTTTTGGGGGCGGGGCATTTAAGCTCTCTCCCCCCTCCCCACCCTGCCTCTACCTTTTCACACCTCTCCTCCTTGACCTTGGAGTTTCTCAGTAAATTCCTGCTGCAGTCACATCTTCTCTTTTGATATTCCTCCCATCGCTCCCTCCTGGGATTATAAACTGAGTTCAACGGGCGTTTCAGATACAAAAGTCTACTCTTCCTTCTTCCCCCTTGAGAGAGCACGTCTATTATCTGGTCGACAGGCTTGCAAATTCTGCCTCCAAAGCCACAGATGAAAGCAACAGCATTTGGAATTGCTTAACTGTCAGTGTTGACACTGCGACTTCTAGACACCGCAGTAGATATGGGGTGACTTTACCTCCAGCTCGGTGGCCCTCGGGCGTCCTGTCCTATCTCTAGACCCTCAGCTTCTCAATCTGCAGGATCGTGGCTGGGGACGCCTGGTGGTGGCCTTCTCGCTCGAGGGGTCCCACGCGTCTAGGGATCCAGTGAACTGGTGATGGCTAAATAACCAGGGAGCTTCGTCTGTAACATTTTTGAATTTTCCAAGTGTACATGTTGCTGAACAGGTGGGAAATGTTATCGGAGGTGGGACATTTTGTGCTTTCGTGTTGGCATGAATCTTTGGTAATAATCCCCAGCGATACTTCTACCGATCTGAAACCACACCTTAAAAAACATTTAGGAACTACTTGTTCTAAAGCAGCTTTTGGGCATCCGTATCAAGAGGCACCAGGTTCCAGTCATGGAGAACAGACAACCTAGTGTTTACCTCTCCCTATTCCAGTAAGTTCTTGGGAGAAGAACCAGCTTGGAACCATTTATGCACCAAAAGGCAAGTGTTTGAACTGACAGTGAGTCTGTGTGTTTCTCTCAACCAGCAGAAGGCTGGAGTATTTGGATTAATGAACAATTTGGTGCCAAGCGCAAATACCACAGACATTTAGCAACAGGAACAGATAACCAAGTTATTTATCAAGTTCAAAGTTGTTTAGAATGGCTTATGCAAAGCTGAAGTAAAGAAGATCCCCGGCTGATGGGCGGTGGGAAGAGTGCCAACCCAGAAAGGACAAGTGTGGCAGATTTATGTGACTTTTCCTTCTACCTCCATGGTTTCCTTTTTAAAATGTGTTGGAGGCTGGGAGGGTTTCTTCACTTTTACACTGAGAGGCAGTATTGCACGCTGGCTGAGAACTCGCAGCCTGAACGGGGACTCTGGACCTGTAAAACAGGGGCACACTTTAGCTCGCCAGAGGGTTCTCGCATGGATTAAATGAGTTAATACAACAATAGGCCACTTAGTACAGATGCCTGGCCTAGACAAAGCGTTGGTAAGTAGTTGCCAATCTTAGTTTTGTACCATGGATAAGAACCATTGTTTGGATTATGAGAGTGTCTATCAGGGGGGAAATACCCAAGGACTCCTAGATAAACTCAACTTCTGGGGGGTTCTAAGTGCATGATTGGTCACACTCACGTTCTGGTGAGCCCCTGTTATGAGAACAGGCCTACCACGTAACTGTAGGGTCATCTCAGCTCTTTGAGGGGCACATGCGTCTCCATTTCATCGATGAGGAGACTGGGACTCAGGGACAGTTAAGCTGCTTCTCCTCTTTACCCAGGGCTTTGCTGGTGGTGGTGGTTGTTGTGAGCCAAATACTGTGCCTTGTATAACGATGGGCCGTGCATTAGAAATGGGAGAATGTTTACAGATAGACTGTTTTCCAGAAATAAACAAAATCATACATTTTAAGATAAGTTGCTATGAATACTCTCCCTCACCCACCTAAGAACTTAGTAAGTTACAATAGTAATACAGTTCTTTTTCTTTCCTTTAGATGCTAAATGGTATATTTAGGCCAAGTTTTAGATGGTACTTACCCGAACTTAAAGCATCTGAATGACAGGTGAGTGCTACGCCACAGGACGTTGGGCAAGCCTATCTACAGCGTCCATTCTTTGCTGTCCCTTCAGACCACAAGCTATGTAGACCACGCCTCAATTTCAAAGCTAGATGGGCTCCCGCCCCAGAGGCTCATCACAGACCCTGGGAGGGAGGGCGTGGGCAACACCGTGGCTTGGGTTGGCTTTGCCCGCACTAGCTCTTGGCCCAGGCTCGGAGGGGCAATGTATTCCCTGTCACGTCCGAAGTCAGTCAGACGGCCAGCAGAGTCTGTACACTCACGGAGAAATCAGGCACTTGGAGTTAGGGATCTCCTTTCTCAAAACGCTCTCAACAGAGAAATAGAAAAGCAAAGAAAGTAAGCCCCTTGCAGCATGGACGAGGCTGGCACCTGGCCTTTTCTCACTACGTGACTTTGAAACACCCAGGATCCAAAACCAGGAGTGCTTCAGGACAGGGAAGGAAGCATTTTGAAATCAGCACGTTGAAATCTAACTATCAGACTATTTGAGCTGCACTGACTGATGTAAAACAATACTAACTCCCATAATTCCCTTGCTTGGGGGCAAAATGACCTGCCAAAATTAGCAGGGAGGGCAGGGCCTGGGAGGGGGTGCCACCGCATCATGTCTACAGTGAGCCTGACCTTGTACGCGCCCTTGGGCGAGGCAGCGCTTAGATTTTCCCCCTGCCTGTTCATTGCTCTTTCACAGCTCTGTAGCTCAGGGAAGGGAGGCCAACACTGAGCTGTCCTTCGGTCAAAACAAGAAAAAAGTGCCTGGCATCTGAATACGGCTGGATACCAGAGAGGTGGGAAGACCTGGGCCTCCCTCCTTCAGGTTAAACATGCTCAGTTTGTTGAATGAATGAACAGTGATGTGGTTTGAAAAGCAAAGCCATCTCCTAAAGAGCCACAGGAATATCACAGATGCTTCTAAGTTATCTGAACTTGTCTTTGGGGTTATAAGTCAAGTTCTAGAACAATGATCTTTGAGGAGGGGTGCCTTTTCATTTCAGATTTCACCGACAGAACAGATTCCAGTGAGCCTGCACTGGTTTCTGCTAATACGTTTGTTTAGGTTCGGTTTCACTTGGGAATATCCCTTGTCTTTCTCCGGATGGCAGACTTCAGGAGAGATCGGTGACCATAGTCCCTAGAGCATGGCTAAATTTGGGGACCACACATGCTAAAAGCAAGTGCTTGAGTTTAATTCTTTTGGTAATACGGCTGTAGGTCAAACAGCACTTTAATTCCGCGGACCCCAGGCTGTACTGCTTGACCTCTCCAGGCATTAATTTCTCCTTTTGAGAAATGGAAATATCAGCAGGTGCAGACATGCTGGGAGCGTGGCTCAAAAAACTCCCTGTCCCATTGCTGGGGATGCTCAGGACCTATTCCCTTTAGTTTGCACCTGCGCATCTGAGAATCCCTGTGCTTGATCCCACACGGGGCAGCTGGAGAGTCGTATGAGATGGGAGCTTCCCACGCCTCCTCTCCGTGCTGTTACACACACGGGGGAGGCAGCGCGCTCTGCCTGGAGGGGGCTGGGAAGGAGAGAACGCAGACAGCGAAGGTCAGAGAGGCCCCCCTTGAAAAGATGCCAGGTTCTGCAGGACCCTTTCTTGGTGTCACCGATCTGGTTATTGAATAAACACCTGCAGATGGGAGAGAGTGTTGGAGACAGCTGGGGGTGGGAGAGAAGCCCTCTACCGTTCTCCACGTCTGCCCAGAGAGCAGGCACCTGACTGTGGCCTGGGAAGGGATGGTGGGAGCGGGGCTGGTGAGCAAAGGAGGCCGGAGCCTCCCTTACCACCGCCAGGGCTCAGAGGGTGTCACCGGGCGGGGTCTTCGCCACAAGTAGGACATGGCACCAGGCTCCAAGGAACTAATGTCCCTTTCAGAACGGAGAGCACTCAGCTCATTGCTAACACCCTCTGGCCTGGAAGGCGGCAGCAAAATTCAGTCACAGAGAACGTGGCGGCGCCTGGATGTGTGGGTGCCCCACCCCGAGCCTCCCTCCGCTCTGCTTGCCACCCAGCACAGTCGGGCCCCCCTTGTTGACTGGAGATCATGTTCCTCATAAAGGGGGCTTGCCTGTCACCTGCTGGGGTGGTGGAACAGTGGGAAACCTCTTTGTAAATGTAAAAATGCCGTTTTTGTCACCCCACACAGTCCCTGTACAGACCCTTTCCCAGTTCTCCTTCAGCTGCCCTTCAGAGCACAGCTAACTTTGTTTCCAGAGATCATGGCTCACGATTCGTCTGAAAAATCATTCATCTGTGATGCTCGGGAGAAGAGCAAGCTTCGTGCATACGTTTTTCATATTTCTGCCACAGATGCCAGAGAAACAGAAATCCTCTCACCAGCAGGTAAAATTTTATGTTATATTTCTGCTGGCGGATCCTAAAGCCAAATGGAGAAAATGAAGGATCTCCCTGAGGTCACGGCACAACCGTGCTATTCCGTGCGACCTCCAATTATGTCCCTTGAGCTCGGACTCCCGGCCTCAGCGGGGCTGTAGATACACAGGGAACTGGTCTTCCTGGGAGCCTAGTTCCCGCCTACCCACCTGGCCCGGCCGGCACCTATTGTACAGAACACCTAACTTTGCAGCCTGAAAGGAACTCGCAGCTCGCCACTTCCTCTAGATGGCGCGATTTCCCCTAATTCGTCCGCGAGACACCCTATTTATAAAATAAATAAAATCCAGCGCCTTCAGAAACCACACTACATAATAGCAGCTCGAAGGTCCCCATTAAAATCTCAATTTGGGGGAATTGATTCTACCTCCGAGCAAATCCAATGCAATTACATTAACAGGATGCAATCAAGAATGGCATCCCAGCGTGCCCACCTGGGCCTACCCCCCTAAATACACCTGTCCCACTGCCCCAATTGACTCCCCGGGATGAGCGGCGGCGAGAGCTAGGCGCGTAGTCACCACCGAGCCTGGCCTGCAGGCCCCAACCACCTACTTAGGGACGCCAGGGCCACTTGGGAATCCTATCCCTTAGCAATCCAGCCAAGTCCCGCATTTTCCAGCGCACCTGTGCTCCCAGGCAAAGGACCGCTGGGACCCGAGCCCAGGCCAAGCGCTGTGCGGCCGCCCCGGGGCGCAGGCGCTGGTCCTGCGGCTCTGCAGCTGGTTTAGAAAGACCGGCGCGCGGTAGGAGGAGGGAGCCGGGCGAGTCGAGCCACTTGGGGGTTCTCGGCGGGACAGCCGGGTGACCGGCTCCGTCCCAAGGTACCAGGAGGAGGGGGTCAAACAGAAGGAGCTCCCAGCCCGCACACAGTGGAGACATTCGCCGGGACTGTCCAACCACGCGCGCTGCCGGCTGCCTGGGGAGAGCCTTTTAGGAAAAAAAGAGCAAATACCAAACCACAAAAACTTTACTGCTGCCAAGAGCTAAAGCGATCGAGGCGCAGTGAAGCTCCAAATCTGGGCAAGACGGGAGCAAGATGAAATGTGGGGTGAGGGAGGACCCAACCAGTGCGTGGCCCCGGCAATTGTCAGAGGCGCCTCGGGGAGGTCGGAGTCAGGTCCACCCTGCTCCTGGCCCGCGCTTACCTTGGCGGCTGCATCAGCCCCTGCGGCCCGCGGGGGGTGGCGTGGCGGGACTGCAAGGCGAAGAGGGGGTGCCAGGGAGCCGCTCGTGGGCCCCGGGGCAAGGAGGGAGGGGCTCGGCAGGCGTTGGTTCCCGCCGCCCCGGGCGGATCAGCAGCGGCCCGGGACGCGCCGCCTGCTCCCCGGCTGCATGCTTGCGAGCGCCTGGAGGAGCCGGCCCGGGAGCGAACAGCTAGCTATTGCGTCCCCAGCCCAGCGGCTCGGGCGGCGCAGCCCGCGCTCGGGAGACAACTGCAGAGTCGGGTAGAGTCGGGTGGCTAGGGCCACCCCCTCCTTCGCCCGGCCCCCACCCGCCGCCGTCGCGAGGTTCGTTTCTGCGCAGAGGGGAGGGGGCGGGCCAGCGCCCTGGAGCGGGCGGGGGGCGAGGGCGGGTGGGGGAGTAGGTGGGGGGTGAGAGTTCGGATTGCCCCGCCCAGTCGTTGCCGCACCCACCCGCATCAGCACCCGTTGGGTGGTTGGGTGGGGGGCGCGCACGGTGAAAAGTGAAGGCGTCGCTAAACGCACGGGTTGGGGGCGTGGGCCAGTGCTGCGAACCCCCGAGATGCCCCGAACTTTCCAAATCTCCCGCTGGGATGCCTTGGAGAGCACATTTTCCACCCTCAATTCCTTGATGGGCAAGAGGGAGTTACTGTGAGGTCTCTGCGGTAGACAGTCACAGCCGCGAGAAACGCAGCTGCTCTCTGCGGAGACGCACCTTTGTTCTACTGACATGTTATTTCTGTTTAAGAACCTTATTTTGAGAAATTCATACATATGGATGAAATGTGTAACCCACGAATAAGTCCTTGCGTCAGGTTTCACACAACTCGGGCTTGTTGAGAGTAAAAAGGAGACCACATCACGTCCCCTCCCCCTTGCAGCCGCTCCCCAGAGGTAACCTCGGGTCAGGGTGTGCTCCGCTGCGGTTCTCTCCAGCCCTTGCTCTGCACTTTTGCACGCACACGTACGGTTTGCAAGTGTATTCTCACGGGCTTTTCGGAAGAATGTTTAACCATGCAGCGCATGCACACACTGGCGAGAACACCGCCACACCACTTCAGCAGTGGTGAATCCCCGGAGGCTTCCGGAGTCCAAAGAAAGACCCTACCTAGTGGGGAAACAGCAAAAAGCTACCCAAACGCCGCTTGCAAATGTGAAACCCCAGCTGGGGCAAGAAGTCCGCTCCCACACAGCTCACTAGCAAATCAGCATCGCATCGCGCAGGTAGAGATTTGCCAGCACTTTTTAGGCAGTATTATGACCTTCCCATTCTTACAAAAAACTGTCTTGGATTTCGACATGATGGGAAGTCTTTGGATTTGCAAAATGAAAAGGTATCATCTGCATTAAAGCACGATCGTTATTGATGCTTCTGGTCTTGAGGGATGTGGTTTTATCGCGCAATAGCCTGCGTCTCATTGGCCAAGTGTACTGAGAGAATCTATAGCTGAGATATAAATAAAATCATGGGATTTAGCAGGAAGGGATGGGGTATTGGTATGGCTGGTTTCTATACTTAGTTCTGACCTTGGGCAAGACATTGGGCAAACTGAGACACTGCTGGGCCTCAGTTTCCTCATCTGTAAATAGCGGTGTATGAGGTGTTGGGCGAGTGTGTGCTCCAGCCCTACACCTCATACACCGCTAGTATTGGGTGCATAACGGATTTCGTCCCTTATTCACCTCTCAGCTCAGCGCCATCATCTCTTCCTTGGGGAATAGCTCTCCTAACACTCTATCCTCTTCCTTTCTAACACTGATCTCACTTTGCAATTACGCACTGAGGAGCGCAGCCCTTCTGTAAGTGCAGGCCTCTCCCACTAGACTGTAAGCAGCCAGGAGGGCAGGACCAGGACCCCCAGTACTTTGTAAGGTACCTGCTGGCACATAATAAGCCCGCTACCAGAATGCTGGAATGACTATCGCACAGATAATAGATTTCTTACTGCTCGTCCAAGCCGCTTGGCATTTTCAAAGTATCTGTAAGTGGAAACATCTCGTTTTAAAACGAAGCCTTTGGAAAGTACCCAGGAGGGTTTCCCCATCTTGGGGGGACAAACAGTCCACAGTCTCGATGAAAACAGACAATTCTCAGCCCAACCACAGGCTGCACAGGCGGCAGGCCAGCAGCTATTTACCTTGATGAGCATAAGCTCCTGTGGAGAAGACAATGAATATTAATGCTACTCATTAAGTACTTGATTAAGTTGGAACAGAGCATAGGCAGTTGCAATCCACAGATGAGCACTCAGAGTTAAATGAGGCCATGGGGTGTGTTTAGGGTGCAAATTAACTAATGTACGTGCTTTCTACCAATAATCTAGGAACATTCCTAATAGGCAATGCCAGGGAATGCCTGTCTTCCTTACTGCAAGGGGCCTGAATTCCTTTAAAATATGTGCAGGCAACAGGCTCACTGGGATTCAAGAGTTAAAAAAGTAAGGCCACTAAGTGGTGGGGGGGGGGCAGGAGCGGGAGAGGGAGAGAGGGGTGGGCAGGGCAAGGCTAATGTCTCTATTAGTTTTTCTCTGGTCCCATGTACAATGTTGCCAAGGGAGAGGTTAAAATCTGGCCTCACATTTATAGAGGAAAACAGGAGAGCTGGTGTTTCCACACTGCTTCTTGGCCATTTTTTTTCTTTTCTCTTTTTGTGCGGGATCCCGCTCCACGCCCTTTTAGAAGCCTCTAGCTTCTGGAGACAGCCCCGGCCTACGGAAAAGGGCGCTGTGTTGCGGGGGCCACGTGGGGCGGGGCTGGCTGAAGGCGCTGCCACTCCCAGCCCAGGGAATGCTGGTGCTGCGGAGGCAGGGTTGGTGTGGGTTTTGTTTTGTTTTTGTTTACGGAGCACCAGCCCTGCCAGGCTGTTCTATAAATGTTACAGCTGTTTCCTCAGTCCTAACACTCTATGAGGTGGGTTGTAACGATTCCCATTTTAGTGGGAACCGAGGTTCAAAGTGTTAAGTGAGTTGATGAACAAGTAGTAGAGTGAGGACTCAAGTGCACGTCCACCTGAGTCCCAAACCAATGCATTTTCTGCTAAGCCCACAGCCTGTTTTCCTTTCAATCCTTTTCCCACCTCTCCTGCTCGGCTTAAGCCAGAAACACCTACACCTTCCACTTTGTGCAGCGCTGGCAAAGCTGGCAGGGTAAGATCGGGGTGCTCTCACCTCTGGCCACGTGTACCCAACGTCCTCAGAGCAAGCTCTGCTGGTGGGTTGCTTTCTTAGTGGGCTTTGGAGGGCTTTGTCAGTCTGGGAACTGCAGGGAAGCTTAGAGGAACATTTGGTTCCTTTAAGTATTCAGGTGACCTTCCCAGGAAGTAGCGGAGTCACACCTGTTTCTGAAGACCTTACCTTGGTATTCAAATTTGGACACCTTGGAAAGGAGCTCGTTGGCTAATATTCATTCTCACTGAGTAACTATGGTCCCCCATTCCACTCACCATGCTTCCTAAGTAACCCCTCAACATCTTTGAAAACTGAAGCGATTCATTAACATATGAAGGTCAGATCCCATGATCCCCAGAAGCTGACCTCTGGAATAAACCCAATTCAATTAAAGAAAAAACACAACTTTTCCTTTTCTAGGGGGGCTTAATTTCAGTGTGACCTGGTTGCAAAGAGTGGCTGGGACATCTTGCTTAATAGGGCAAGAACTTCAGCAAATTTTTCTCTCTGCTCCTGGATTCATTTTATATAAAACAGTGGCCTCCAAATTGGGTTCCTTTGTAGTTCTAAAACCCTATGGTTTAGTGGGGATAAAATATATATAATTTTGTTACTCACTAGAGCAAAGCTCAATAACTTCAATTCTCTTGATAATTTTTTGGATTTTTGCTCTTGACTCTGATTCCTCAAATATTTTCTGTGAGCAAGGAGGATATAAATAGCAACAACATCCCAACTCTAGACTTTGGGATTATAAATTCATAGTAATCTTATCATTAACAGTTGTCGATCTGTAACATCCTTACTCTTTTCTCTTTTGGTAATACTCATAGTATCTTCTATTTTTATAAATCTCTGAATTTAAGAGGTGTGTGCTTGTGATGGTTAATTTCACATGTCAACTTGGTTAGGTTATAGCGCCCAGTTCAGCCACATTAGTCTAGATGTTTCTGTGAAGGTATTTTTTAGATGTGATTAACATTTACAATCAGCTGACTTTAAGTAAAGCTGACTCTTTCATAAGGTGGTGGGCCACACCTAATCAGTTGAAGGCCTTAAGGGCGAAGACTGAGGTTTTCGCAGAAGGAATTCTGCCTCGATATTAAAACACGGAAACCCTTCCTGACTTTCCAGCCTGCTGTCCTGCTCAACAGTTTTTTCCGTCAGCCCTCCACAATCAAGCGAGCCAATTTCTTAAAATAAATCCCTCTCTATGTACCGATTGTTTCTCTGGAGAACCCTGACTAATACAGCATTCAAACGGGTCTGCTCAAGTATGCATTCATTCATTCACTCCTGCATCTAGTCAGTAATAATTTATTGAGATAAACATGCATATAGCCCCACGGAGGGCACTGGACATGATTTGTAAAATACCAAAGTGTGGACTCACATTGTGTTTCCCTGAAAATGCCCAGTAGAAGTTCATACAGAAACCAGGTAGCAAGCAATAAAGGAGGTCAGAGACACACAGTAGGTTTGGATAGACAATGGCCCGTCTTCTGGGAACTTCAGAGTCTTAAACTACAATGGCTAGGAGAGGAGAAGTTTAACAGAGTGTGCCCCCAAAATGAGACTTCTCCTTCTCCTGAGCACCAACCTTCAAGTCCTGTGATTTAAAATTTTTTTAACCTTTGCAATGTTTTGATGGTGCAAAATGACCCTGGGCTGCTTTGGAGGTGGGAGGTGCAGAAGGCGTGAGAAAGCGGAGAGCGGGGAGGAGGGCAGACACCGCCAGGTCGGAAGGATCTGGTTTTAAACCCTGGCGTTCGCTAAGCTAAGCGACTGTGGGCACATCACACAACATCGCTCTCATTTGCGTACTTGTAAAGTGGAAAGGTCTTTCCTGGAAGCGCTGGTGAGGACTCAATAAGCTAAATCGTATGCAATACCAAGAGCAGGACTTTGAATCGATCTGTGGGAGCGCAGCGAAAGGCAGCCAGCGTTTCTAGGTCTCCTTTCATCTTCGCATCTTTGCAT